CCTGCGATTTCTCCTTCATGTGCTCCTTGAATTGCGAGTCAGACTTGTAATCATCGCCTGGGTTATGGGTCATCAAGCGCATGCGCGTAACGTGAGATGAAAGAATGTTGACTTTCACGCTGAAGACCACGCCGATCAACGAGTCGCGAAACACGAACACATGCACAGATGTTCACAAATCAAAGCACAAGCACATACTCACAGACGCTCACAGAGACAAGACACAGAGGCACACGCACGCGCAGTTACACAGACACACATACAGACACACAGACAGACATGCACAGACACGCAACCCAACACCGCACCGTGCTCTGCATGGGGCATGCCTGACTCCTCCTTCTTCTCCTTGACGCCCATGATGTTTCCCAGCTTGGTGCCGGCGAGATTCCACTCTTTCTTCTGCGATCGAATCGCCTCCTGCTTCTCGCGCTCCCGGCGGACCTGATGAGACAGAGGCGGTATCCGTTGATGGCGATGGCGGTGGGCATGGGTGAACCCTGGTGCCATTGGCAAGCGAAGCACCGGCAAATTGACAGCACAAGCACACACACACACATGCTGTTCCAAACACACACACACACAACACACAACACACAACACACAACACACACACACACACATACAACACAACGCAACACAAGATGCGCACCAGCTGGGAGCCCTTCTTTGCGAGGATGGCAAAGTCTGAGGTGACGTCGCGGACGGGAACAACGGGCTCGGGCTGCTTGCTCAACTTGAGCCGGCCATCAAGGAACGGCGGCACGGTGTGGTGGATGAGGATGTGCAGCTTGCCTTCCTCATCATCCTCCATGTCATCGTCGGCAGAGGTTGCGTGCACAGCACCGCTTTGCAGCATTCGGTTGCGTTCCCAGCGGTCCTGGTCCGCATTGCGCTGCCGCTGAAACGCCGTCACGCGGTCCTCCTGCAGCCAAGCAGTTATGGTGTTGTTGATGTGGTCATGTCGGTTCGGGGCGGGCGTGAGGTTGTGACAATGGTCAAAGCAGCATGCACGCGTGTTCCCATGGACGCACACATCTGTGCTAGACTTGCACACATCTACACACATCTACACATGCAAAGACACAAACAAACACCCACACATACACACATACACAAACGCCCCACATGCCATCAATAGTTGTGCACCTTTGCAACTTTCTTGACGGTTGCTTCCTTCTGGGCAGCGTATGACTCCATGCCCGCAAAGGGGTTGTAGTCGTCGTCGTGTGTTGCGTCCATGTGGTACCACGAGCGGTCAATCTCCTCCTGGTCCGCCTCCCACTGCAGCCGGTCCTCTTCGTTCATAAACGTGATGTCGTCATCGTCAAGATACGCCGCTGGCTGCTGCCCCTCCCCACCTGCTGCTGTCGCTTTGCCCGCTGCTGTTGTTGTTTTGTCTGCTGGTGCTGGCGATGCAGCCCACTTTGCGTCGCGATATGACGGCCGCTCAATCGGCGTCGACTTGTACATCTCGGGCGTGCTGGCAGCGGGGGCCATGTGGAGGAGGGTTATGGCGCAGGATCGAAGTGCAGTTGGTGGTGCATGAGAAACCAGGGTGGGCAGGCCGGCAGGTTGGTGTACGTGGCGAGTTGCGACACACACACACACATAACACACACATAACACACACACACACACACATACGCGCACAAACACACACACACACACACACACACACACACACACACACACACACACACACACACACACACACACACACACACAAGCTCACCTCTCCGGTCGTGCACTGCGCGGGCGGGGCGACTCCGACCAGCGGCGACCGCGGCTGATGCGGGGCTGATAGTCGTCGTCATCACGACCAAGGCCACCGCGCCGCCCGCCCTGTCGCGTCGACGATGGTTTGCTGTACAGACCACCGGCTGCGGGTCGGGCATCGCGGTGGCGCGCATACACCTCGTCGCGGACGGGCGTGGCCACGCGGTCGTCCGTGTCTGCAATCACGCGCGTGCGGGTGCGCAGTGCGGCGCCTTTGCTTGCCTTTGGCACGAATCGCGGAGGCTTCGCATACCCTTTGTCGTCCCGCTCGACCGGCTCATCGGACGGGCGAATGTGCACGCGAGGTGGTGTGCGGTGACGATCACGATCACGGTCACGGTCCCTGCTGATGCTTCTGTAATCACGTCCGCGCCGTGAATGATCACCCTCGTCATCCCACCGGCTCCTGCCCCTGCTTCTGCTCCTGCTTTGGCTGCTGCGCCGATCATCCCTATCCCTGCTTCTCCGGCTGTCCCTTTGCCTGTCCCTATCGCGGTCATCGTAGCTGCCTCTGTCCCTGTCTCGCCCTGCGTCCCCATCTCTGCCTCGGTCACGATCGCGGTCGCGGTTGCGGTCGCGGTCGTGGTGTCGCTCCTCCTTGTCCTCGTCACGCCTGATGCCACGAGCACCATCACCACCATCATCTTCGCCGTAGTTTTCGGTATCACGGGTGCGCTGACGATATGAGCGGGTGGCGCGTTTCTCAGCCGTTGAAGTGGCA